CTCCTATGGGAGTTAAGCCAGGTGGCTCCCCAACCCAAAAGCTGAGCAAAATCAGGAACTAGACGGGACTAGCACGCTCAGGAGACAAGAGCACCCAGGGGCAGTTTCTCCTCACAGTCTGACCTTCACGGAGCTGTAGGTTTAAAGGGAAAGGTACATATCAGAGGATTAACAGTTTCACAGTTATCTAGAGCCTTGAGCCTACAAAGGCAAGCTCTGGAGCCCCTCAAAGCTATGTGCTTCCAGAATGTCACAAGCCCCGGGCTGCAGGGAGACAGTAGCTGCTGGACAAAGCCAGGCCTCAAGGACCAGGTCTCAGGCGGTAAGAGCTGATGCCATCCAGGAGGCACAGAAGCAAAGGTCCCAGGTCTCCCAAATCTTCTTCCCTTACTTTTGCAAGGCTGTGGTGCTGAACCCCCCTGGCCCAACCCGGCTTTCATCCACCTGACTGGCTGCAGGACCTGCCACTTCCAGCACTGGCTGGAAGCTGAAGTGGTCTTACTGTGTGAGTCCCACCACGTGCCTGGGCAAGAGGCATCACTGCCTTGCTGCTGGGGGCTGTGTGCTCCCTGGAGTCCACACTCACACCTGCCCTGCTTCCCGCCTCCCTCAAGACACTCCCTTGAGCTACGAGCTTCAAATATACCCCGTGCCAAACCAGATGCTCTTGTGTCTTATTCTCTATGGGACAGAGTTAGTGACAGAGGAGACACTTGGTGAAATTAGTTTTTAAAACAAAGTTTAAAGATTCAGTTTGCAGTTGCCTTTTGCTGCTGGGTCAATGCCTGGATGTGGTGGGTGGGTACGTGGCTCTGCTGTGGGCCCCCACATGCCCTTCCTGCCCCATGACCTCTCTTGCTTCCCCATGTGGGATCACAGTTCTCATGGTCCATTTCTATGCTGATTGTAGGTTTAGCCTTCACAGTTTTTCCACTGTGTCACAAGGCACTTCTCAAGGGGCAAGACTTGCCCTGGGGAGTCTCTCAGGCTTTTAAGACCTTCTGTCCTCTCACAGGTGATGGGCTCTGGCCGGAAGCTGGGCAGCATCCCTGGAAGATCGTCTGCTATCACTCAGGGCAAATGAGGCCTTTGAGAAAGAGATAGGTGCCCAGAACTTGCTCTCAGGACTACTTACCTGTATAAGATTTGGGCCCAACAAGCTGGCTCTGGTCAAGGGTAAATGGCATTCTGTTTCTAGAATGTGATGAGAACAGTGCACTTTATTGGTTTTCTCTCTGCATCGTCAGCAACAAGACTAAATGGCAACAAGTAGCACTGAAGGGGCTGGAAACGGCTGAGATGTGTGGGTACAACCTGGCAGGACTGCTGTTCTCTGCTCGAGAGGACGACTTTCCTAAAAGCCACGGATGAAACCTTCCCTCCTGTTCACAGGGACTCACAGAATATATGCAATAAATTTCAATTACCAATGACCTGGAGAGTAAACAGGATGACCAGGTCTAAACATGTTCACGATCTTCTTGGAAATCAGCCGTTTGCTGCATCAGATATTTCCTTCATCTTTACGAATGACACAGCAGTAGTGCAGTCTTCAATCCCACTGCCTCAGGCGATAATGCCTCAGAGATAGGATGTGGTGTCAAATAAGCATCTTCAATTTAGAGATGGAGGCACCAGGCTGGAGCTGAGCTACAAGACGAAACTCCTGATCTTCAATGACAGTCTCTGCCCCCTGGGTCCTCTCTGGATCAGGGTGGATAGACTGGAAAACACATCTAATTTGCTTCAAATGGGCTTCTGATGGCGAGTCACACTATCTCTGCTGAAGCAAGATCTCCTGGGAGCGGTGACCCACAGACACTAGACAGAGAATCTTCCAACGTGCAGCTCGTGATGGTTTGGGAGCCCAAGAAGAGACCAGCAACAGTAGTGAGGCCTCAGCTCCAGGCTGGGTCTCCCCTGGAGACTCTGAGGCCACCTCCCATGTGGTATGTGCTCAGCGTCACAGACCCAATTATCCCATAATCTCAGAGATAACCTCTCAGCTCCAAACTCGCATCACCATGAAAACAAAACGCTGCAGTCTACTTGAGATAATTTTTGCTCTGATTAAAATTTTTATTGAAATCTCTCAAATGTTACCAAGAAATAATTTTTGCAAAATAGGGGAAAAATAGCTAACAAGCAAATTCAACATGGGAGCTCCCTCTGCTGGTCTGCAGTAGGTTGATATGTTACAAACACATTCCCAGAGACAAATCTAATTTGCTGGAGAAGTGGACAAAAGACAGGTGTGTTGGGCTTTGCCTCAGGAGAGAAACACTAGAAGAAAAAAAAAATCCAAGTCTCAAAACAGAGCACAACATTGCTAAGAAAAGCAAAATAATATAAACACTTCTCCAAAGACATACAGTAAGCTCTCCAAACAAAACCAGAATCATCCACTAAAGGGATGCTCCATTTTAGTCTTCCCCACTGCTCTATTCTCTCAGGCCCTTTAGGTGAAGGTTAAGCTCTGATTCCCTTGTCTTTGCCTCCAAGTCTCTTCTCACAGGCTTCTCATCTACTTAAAGAAGAAAGATCCAAGGAGTCAGTAGAGCGAGGCCTTTCCAAAATTCCAACAAAGAATAAGTCTTTGGTGAGCCAGCACTGAGGTGTGGAAACAGCAAGGCCTGGGATCAGGTGACCTGGCTCCAGTCACAGTAGAGCCACTCACGACTTTTGAGAACTCTCCATCTTCTTTGGTCTGTCTCCTCAACTGTAAAATGGGCCAGACCTGCTGATCGGGAAAGCCTCTACCAGTTCATTCTAGGAGTCTCATCTTGGACAAAGAAATTTAAATAGCCATATCTGTTCATGAGCCTTTAGAATACAGAACCCAAGCTTGCGCTGGGAATGACTCCAAACAAGCTGTGGGGTTGAGCACAAGGATCTCTCTGATTTCAGATGAAAGTTCCACCAACTCTAGGACCGATGTGGCGGAGCCAAGTGGATTCCAGGTTGAGAAAGTCTCAAGATCAAGGAAGAACTCACAGGGGAGGGTGCCACCATGGGCAATACATCCCACCAAGTCCAATGGTTGAGTCCATCTAATCTTGGCACTGTCTCTAACCTTTCTCACAATGGGCATGGGTTTTCTAATCCCTAAGACTCTCAATTCCTTTTTCCACCTACCCCCAGACATACTTTGGATTTCACCCATTATATGAAACAAGGGCAAGTTACCCAGATGTTATTAAGGCCCAAAAGCCATCATTCCCGGTCCTTTATGGCCACTGTTAATTCTTGCTTTTCCAGGGCAATAGTGAAAAGCTTTACTGATTAACAAAGCCACCAACACTCAAAATACACGGCATACTTGGCACTGTTCCATGGTACTAGCAACATTTGCCTCAACTGTCTGTTAATCTGTATTTAGGCAGTCTAGGAAGAGGAAAGGAAGACCAATCCATGGATAGTGGGGGCGGGCCCAACAATAGGGAGGGCCTTTCTGAGTCATTCCCCATCATCTATGAAGTTACCCCCAAGGCCACCGCAAACATTTCAATGACTCAGCAGAAGATATTCAAGGGCTCATATTTTGTCCCTTCTCCCTTCCCACCTACAAGGACACTGAGCCCTGACAAGGACTGAGGTGGTAGCAGCAGTGAGGGAAGGGAAAGCAGAAAGCACAGCTGATATGGTCACTGGGCATCAGGCTCTAAATCCTGCTGCTACCACAGGTCACGTTCTGTGCTAGGTGCTCTCAACCACCATCATCTACTTTTCCCTCACCATTGATTCGACTTTCTACCTCCTTCTGCCAACACCAGGGGTCATCACTTCAGGGGCCTAGGCACCAAGGCCCTCTCTTTGTAGTTTGCCTGTGCAGCAGCAGGGAAGCTGGGCTGTCCGTGTGTGCAAAGAGCAATGACAACTCAGCTGGAACAGAGTGGAAGCATACGCAGCCAGCACCACGCCTGACCCCGCAGCCTATAAGGATGTTAGTTAGCCAGGGGGTTGCCTGGCCGTGTTTTATAAAACCCTGTGAGTTCTGTACAACATGAAAGAGTTTTAAGTCAGAAGGAAGAGTTTTCTGGGAAACTATATTTCATCCAGCCTTGTAAATAAACACTAAACAAAGAAGACAAAAATCCCCAACCTGCCTGTCTAGGCCAACTGTTTTTTTTAGAAACGAGGCTTTCCTGCTTTTAGAGGAATTTCACGTGCATTAAGACGAATGAAATTTCATGCTTTCTTATTTGCTATTGATCATCACTCTGAACCCTAATGGTTATCACTACTGTTTGTACTAAGAGCAACGTTTTTCTTTTCACAGGGAGAGGAGGGGCTGCTATGTAGATCGTAATCTTTGTGAAGAAACCAGGGAGTTTATAAAACTCAGGCTATTATTAACTCAGAAGGAAAGTAAGTCCAGAGGCCCTCAGCTTAACCTGTAATTACATTCTCCACACTACACTGTCCCTCCTTTTTCTACAGGGCTTCCTCGAGGTGGCAGAAAGAACCCCTAATCTCTCCTGTAACAAGTGTAAGCTATCCTGGAAACTTCCAACTTTTCCCTTCAGTCACTGAATCTCCTAGAACACGAGAGCAGCAATCTCTCAGTACGCAGGTACAGAGACGTGTAACTCCTGCACAAGTGCACACCTTCCTCCGCAGCCCTTGCACACGACCAGGCACACACACACACACACACACACACACACACACACACACACACGACCGTGTTCTAGTGACGCCCTCTGGCTGGCTGGGGAGGGAACCTGTGCCCAGTCTCTCGTGTGTGACATGAGGGTGAGATCATTAAGGAGGAGAGAGGTGTCATCTGGGGCAAACATCAGGCAGTGGGTGATATCATTGCTGTCAGACTGTCCTCAAATCCCGGAGGAGTGTCAGCTTGATTTAGAGGGGATCATTAATCTCCTGAAGGTGGGTCTGTTAGCTGGATAGGTGTTAGTTGTACGGTGTGCTCTGGGGAACCGAGTTGGAAAGGACTGGTGATGGGGTGAGTGAAGTCGTGGCCGATGGGTATAAATTACCTGGGCATGCAGTGAAGCGGGATAGGTGAAAGCAGGAGGAGGTAGAGCAGGCGCTAACTCCGCTGGGTACAGAGGGTACGGGGCCCACACTTCAGGGCTACTGGGGTAAAGTGCAGGCACTGTGAGCTCGTCTGCAAGAAAAGAATAAGGGAAGAGTTAGTGGTTACAAACAGCTACTTTCAAATCAGAAACAAAACACCATAAATAACCCCACACCCCAAACAATGTCAGAAGTCAAATTACTCTCATTCTTTTAATAACCTGTTGGTTTGGGTCCTGAAACTCTAAGCAAGGGAACGGTAAATACAAAGTGAAAAAAAGCAACAGGCATCTGCTGCCTGTCTGGCCTGCTGGGACCTCAGGCCTGGGATCTGCCCTGGACACTCTGATGTCTTTCCAACTACAGTCGGGGGAACATAAGAACAGTGGGGATTTCCTGCACAAAACCGCACACGTGGCCCTCTAAGAAAAAGAGGAAGAAAGAGGATGGGTAGGAGATATCCCATGAAAATCCACTGCAGAGAGAATTGGGAGAACAATGGTTTACTGGCAGGGCCATGACAGGCCAGAACGACTGTAGGACTTCTGTGATTATCAGAGTAATGAGTAATTACTACTGACAAATAGATCATGGTCACCAAGCACTTCCCATTTAGCCCAGGGAAGCACAGGGCCAGACACTGTGCCTACAGGGCATTTAAGATGTCAAAAATGCAGAGAACAGAAGTGAAAAAGCCTGGAGTATCTTGATTAAAGTTAAGCTCCACAAAGATGCAATTTAGAACATTCCGTAGTTGCTGCTTACACTGGTCTAAATTTGATTCCATTCAGGTCAAGCTGCAGTTTGCCAGATTGAAGGGCAAGTGCCCGAGGCTCAGAATGTATCAGGAAGCAATCCATTAAAGTAACAGAAAACACATGAGGGAGCGTCTCCGCAAAGAAAAAAAAAAATCACCAATCGATAGTTATGAATCTGGATTCTGGAAGCAGCAATCTCAATATGTGCTTTTATCACCTGTCAAAATCTGAAATCAAGTAGGCCAAGGATGCTAGCTGGGACTGCTGAAGGAGTCAGGAAAAGGCGACTGTCATAAAGCCATTAGTGACTCTGCCATTCAGGGCTTTCCAGAAGTCCAGAGTGCATGTGACCCAAGGTCAACAGAGTCATTTCACTCCTTCCCACATGTAAGAAGCCACCCGAGGGCTGCTCATTCTGGGTCTTCCTCATGCTCCCAGCCTCCCCCCTCTCCCAAACTGTGGCTGTGGGCAGGGGGCTAGAAACAGAAAACCTATCCTGAGTGTGATGTGGGGAGTGCTCTACGGAGCAACCAGAAAGAAGCTGAGCCTGTGGGTGCCTGTGGACCTGGTGAGTTTTTCCCACAGTCAGCATGGCAAGAGCTTCTGAGAAGATGGTGGGAGTCCAGGGCTGATTGAGGACTATCCCTTCAGAGGGCTACACTGTGGCTGGATGGACTCCCTGACTCAACAAGGCAGTTTAAATGTCCTCTTCAGACCTGATGAGGGGAGTGCAGCCTGCTTGTAGATTAGGCTGGAGAGTGTAGCCCAAAGAGGAGACTCACAATTATTATTTGAACAGGAACCCACAGCAATAAAAATAAATAAATAAATAAATAAATAAATAAATAAATAAATAAATAAATAAATAAATAAATAAAGGAACACACAGTAACATCCTAAGCTTCTTCAAATGATCAGGTCTATACCATCTACCTCCAGTTCTAGGGTGTGTAGGTGTTTCTAGTTTCGGTCAGAAAATTCCTTATGGAGGGGTCAGGAGAACACGTCACAGACCCCTGTGTTTCCGGTTATGACAAGACCAGACCATATGATTTCCATTAGAGCAAATCTTGTGGGAGCCCCGCTCGTGGAAACTAACTGCTGCCAGAACCCAGGCCTCGGATTTTAAACAAACAACCGTTCTCAGGAATGGCAAGCTATTACTGTTGTTGTTGGTACTATTATTTCAACTACCGTGCTATTTTAAGACATTCTGAGTCTTAAAAAAAAAAAAAAAAAAAAGTCAAGAGAGTCTCAGGACCTAGCATGTGAATGTCTCAGTCCAAGCTCGCTCAGCCCTATTGTGACAGCAGAGGACTCTAACTGCCATCAATGGGGGTGCTATGCAGCACTATGAGGGGGCCTGCAGCCTGATGGTGGCACTTCCTCATCCTGTTGCCTCACAACAACTGGCCAAGATGGGGGTACTCTTATCTGATAGATTTTTCTCTAGCAAGTTTTGAAAATGAAATGAGAGGTTTTTTTAAGATATCTGATCCTAAAGAGATAAATAATAAAGACAGGTGGAATCAGGGTTTCAATCTCAGCCTCAACTGATAGGATTTACAATTTCCAGACATTTCCAAATTTCTATCCTAAAGCATCACTTGCCATTGGGTCTAGACTGACACTTGGAAACTATTCACTAACATGCACAAACCTAGCCCAGCAAGATGGGGCATCTGCTTCCAAATCTCCCATACCCAAAGCTGCTGAGTTAACAGAGTCAGATAGTGAAGTGGAAGCCTAAGAGAGATTGGAGTGAAATGAGACTTGATCAGTTCTTTCATACCTCTCATCATCTCTTCTGTCTCCCCTTGAGAAGGAATTTAGAGTTACCACAAATGTCAAGAGACATGCAACATATAGTGGGCTGGTCAGGAGGAGAAGAGGAGGAGGAACTCAAAATGTACCAGTGGAGATGTTCTAAGCTGGAGAGTACTAGTTTAGAGGAGGGCAGTTGAGGAGGATTTCTCACAACCAAGTTCCCAAGGGTTGGCTAGTGAGAGCCCAGGAAGGGAAGATCCAGGTCTTAAGTCTGCACCCCTGGGGCCACCTCTGAGACTAGCATTTAGTGTTTAATAATGTTTCTTGGATTGAATAGTACCTGGTAGAAAATTCTAAAAAATTTTTAAAGATATACCACTGTTTTGTTAAAGGAGTTTAAACTATCCATAGGAACCAGATCTAAAATTTCCCAATCCTTTCAGTATTTATCACACTAAAACAAAAATGAAACAAAAAGCAAAAAGGAGGCGCAAACCGGAAGAGTGACTTTCAAAGTTCAAAATAAAAGCAGTGCAACCCTTTCTCTTCAAATGAATTTTTCTCAGAATCCCCTTTTAAGTAGAAGTGTAGCAAAATTTGGTTGCTTTGGTGGCAGCGGTGGTGGTGGCAGCGACGGTGGGTTAGCTGGAAGATCTCAACCCCTACAACAGTCCCAAAGGTCCTCCAGGGTTCCAGAGAATAGTCTGAAAACTGCGTTTACAGCTGCACTCACCCACAGATCAGTTTTTAAAAGTAAGCTCCTCTTCCACATCTCTGAAGGAGCGCATTCCTCCAGCTCCCAGAACCCCACCTGGGGGCAGGGATGTGAGTTGCTAGAGCAGGGGGAAGAGACAAAGAACCTTGGACCTTGGATAGAAGCAGACAGGCTCTCCTGACACAGGCTTCAGTGCCCAGAGTACCATGGACTGCAGAGGCAGTCCTCCAGGGAGTGTTTAGGGCCTCAAAAAGTATAGAAAAATCTAAGCCAGAAAATACAGCAGGTGACATGAAAGGAAGAAACGTGAGTAAACCAGGACAAGCTATTTACTCCTTCCTCCACACTCCTGGCTCCTGGCCCTACCTTCGCATCTGCACTATAGCCCTGAAGAGTCCCTCACAGTACGGGGTGTCCTGAGCAGCATCAGCATCAGCTGGGAGCTTGGGAGAAAGGCAAATTCCTAGCTCCACTGAAGACCTACTGAGTCAGAATTTGGCCCTCTAGGTGAATCTGATGTATGCCTCAGTTTGAGAACCACTGCTTTAAGTTGTCTTCTTGTCTATCTTACTGTATTATTTGATGCTTGAGCAAATTATGCATTTTGCCTTCAGAGAGCTTACAGTATGGTACCTGCTATATAGCAGTTTGTTCAATGAGTGGACGAAACACCCTAGGAAAGAAAATGCAAATGAAAGCAATAATTCTAGATTTGTTTTTTGAGAGAAATTGGAGGGGACGAGCAGACTCAACCTGACATCCTTTGTATGGCTCAGAACCCCTAGTAACAGAGCACTACAGGCACAATGGGGACCTGCGGACCAGGTAAGGATCACATCTGTGGTAAAGCAGCCCTCACAGACACCTACCTACATTTCACTAGGAGGCTGAGGACACTCTGAAGAGTCACATACTTTCCTTTGACAGAAGAGGGTAGTAAGGTGAATGAGCTTTTGCATTTGCATACTTCTTCCTGGTTGCCAATATGGTCTTCAGAAAATTATAGCAGCTGAAGGGACAAGGCTCTCCCTAGCTCAGGACCTTCACACAGATTCCCAACTGAAGGAGCAGACCACAGCAGGGGAGCAGCATGGCTCAGGTGGGCTTCTGGCTTCCTCAGTTGGCCTATTCTGCTAAAAACTTCCTAAGATGGAAAAGCTGAAGAAAGAGAAAGTTTGCTGCCCTGGGCCCATTAGAATGAGTAGAGTTCAAGGAGGGGGTGAGACTCCCCCTGACAAGAGAGGCTCCTGACCACCCAGAGTGAGCCAGGCCTCAGTGAGCAGAGGGATCAGCAGGCCAGAGCTTTTTGTCTAGGCCTAATCTGATCCTCTCCTGAGAGGGTGGGTCAGGCCTTTCCCACTGCCCTAGATCTGGCTACATCCTCTCTCCTTTAGCATGTCTGAGGATGTTTTTGAGGGCTCCCAATATACATCTGAATAAGCCTTTTTCTTAGCATAAGAATATGCAATCAGAAGAGCTCAAACTAAATTCTGACAAACAAGACTAGAAACTTCCCCAACTCCACCTTTCAATCCCTTTGGAAAGGAAAAAAACTGCAGTGTCTGATGAAGGTTTAAACTGCAAGAGCTCACTAAGATCAGCCAGTCTGCCTTTTCATTTTGGATGAGAAAACAAACATGCAGAAAGGTGAAGGTTCCAGTCTAACGTCACACTGAAACAGATAAACGACTCTCAGAAACGAGAACAAGAGGAACAAGGACAATCTTTAATGGACTTAACCTGTGTACAGCTGAGAACACAAGGTCTAAGAACTTTAAATTTTTTTTTTTTAATTTATTTATGACAGTCACAGAGAGAGAGAGAGAGGCAGAGACAGAGGCAGAGGGAGAA